CTTCCTTCCTTCCTTCCTTCCTTCCTTCCTTCCTTCCTTCCTTCCTTTCTTCCTTTCTTCCTTCCTTCCTTTCTTCCTTCCTTTCTTCGATTCCCTCCCTCCTCTCCCCCTTCTACTAGAGTTTGAACTTAAGGGTTTTGTCTATGCTAGGCAAGTACTGTCACTGAACTTATTTCCAGCCCTATTTTTACTTTGAACTTGTGATCCTTCTGCCCCAGTCTCCCCAGTAGCTGGGACTATAGGCCTCAGTCATCAAGCTAGACTCTGGGATGGATTCCTTTTGGAGTTAAGTGAGGACTCTGACCTGTGCCCAGCTACATCCCTATGGGTGTAGAGAAAAGGATCAGTTGGCTGCTCCTGCAAGGCTAGGACCAATGAATTTCTTATGATCAACTTCTTTATGGTAATGGATTGACATTCTAGACTAATATTTTAAAAAAGCACTGTGGTGTCTTGTTTAAAGGGAAGGCACATGTAGTAAGACCCATAGTACTTCAGTAATGTAAATGCCCAGGCGTAACTGTACTAACAAAACATAACTTCTCAGAATGTCCTCAGGTCACTGATCAGGACCACTCCCAATGACAATTGTCAGGTGGGGACACACTGTCTACTGCTAGGGCATCTTACTACCTTATGCTTCTATTTTAGACAAGTGCTGTCGAGTTCATTTTCATTTGCCATATCGATGGCAATTCTTGGATGGAGGCAAATGGAAGGATATGGACAACATGGAGCTTATTGAAGAGGCATATAGCAATCCCAGTAGAGACAGGTAGGAGAATGAAAACCTACCCCTCATCCTGGCTTTGTGTACAATATTTTGTGTATAGCATAAGAGATTTAGTTTAAACAATAGTATATGTATGTGTGTGTAATACCCATACACATAAACACGCATCATTTTGCAAAACATGTTCTGGAGGTGGAAGCCTGTGTTTATACTGGAAGTCAATTATCTGTTCTTCCACTTTCCTCCATTCAGGGAGGAGCTGTGAGAAAAGAACATGGTCCCAAGACCAAGTAACCTCTGTTACTTGCTGCTTGGATTGCTCATACACAGTTTTAAGAGACAATCAAGAGCTGATAATTTGTAAACTTCTAGTCTTTTCCATAAAGTCACACAGCCAAACTGTTTAACCTGAATGCTTTTATTAAGTTTTCCTAGTATTTTCCCTTAACCAATTTATAGTAAATAAGGAAGTCCCAGGTAGTCTTCTTTTAAATACTTACCCATTACTTTGCTTGAAATGTGCTGTGATTTGCTTGTAAAAAGATAATTTTGAAAAATTTATTTTGGGCATGGGCTGAAGAGGTAGCATAGTAGGTAGAGAGCTTCTACTCTGCCGGAAGAACTGCGTTTGGTTGCTGGCACCCACATGGTAGCTAACTGTCTGTAATTCCTTCCAATTTTAGAGGGACTTAGGCCCTCTTCTAGCCTTTTCAGGCACTGCACTCATGTGGTTGAATACATGCAGACAAAATACTCACACACCTAAAATAAAAATAAATAAATCTTTATTAAAATAAAAAGTTTGGGGTTTATTTTAATTTTGGTTATGTCTGTGTGTTTGTCTGTGTATATATGTGCATGTGAGTGAAGGTGCCTGCAGAGGCCACAAAATGGTGTTGGATCCCCTGGAGCTAGTAGAGTTATGGGCAGTTGCAATCCACCCACTGTGGGTGCTGGGAACCAAAATGTGACCCTCTATAAAAGCATCAAATGTTCTTAACCACTGAGCTCCATAAAAAAAAGAATTTTAGTATTTAAAATGGTTTTTGAACTTAGAGTACATATGTGCAAATTACAATTGACTAAGAATATGAAACAAATTATTCCCCTTAGGGGACAGGAGCCATACAAAGAGACCAACAAAGCCAAAAAAGCTGGGTCCAGGGGCACTGCACAGACTGATGCATCAACCAAAAACCATACATAGAGAGGGCCTAGACCCCCTGCTCAGATGTAGCCCATAGACAGCTCAGCTTCCATGTGGGTTCCCTAGTAAGAAGAGAAGAGACAGTCTCTGACATGAACTCGGTTGCCTGCTCCTTGATCACTTCTCCCTGGTGGGGCAGCCTTGCTAGCCCATTGAGAAAGAGGATCCAGTCAGTCCTGATGGGAGCTGATAGGGTAAGGTCAGACAATAGGGGAGGAGGACTTCCCCTATCAGTGGACTAGGGAAAATGGATAGGGGAGGAAGAGGGAGGGAGGGCAGGACCAAGAGTTGATGAGAGAGGGCCTACAACAGGGATACAAAATGAATAAATTGTAAATAATAATAATAATAATAATTTAAAAAGAAATTTCCAGCACTTAGATGATGCCCTACATTAATAAAACTTTGTTTATACTTCAAAAAAATTTTCCTTAGGAAGATTGAATAGTTCATATACCACCCATAATCTTTCTATTTGAAACAAATTTTAGACAGTATTATGCATAAATATTAAGTATATAACAGTTACTTTTGGCAAATGTACTTACTTGTGTAGCCAAATACAGAGTATCTCATCACCTTTGAAGGTTCTTTATTCAGCTCATTTTCTACAGTTGTCTTCACTGCCTTCTCTCACCTTAGATTAGCTTTGTTAGTTTGTGGACCTATAAGTTGAACCATTTCTGTGTACTGATAGGCCTGGGGTGCAACCACTGTGGCTTCTTTTCCTTTAAAAAATTTTTCAGTTCTGCTTTTAGAGACAGTCTCATTCAGCACGGACTGTCCATAATTCTCAATCTGGCCAACACCTCCCAAGGGAGAGGGTTATAGGGTGTACCACCATGCCAGGCCCATGACTGGGTTAGGCCAATCTTCTGTGCCCCATAGGTTTGTTTATATGGGGGACTATCTAGAGGGGTTTTCTGGGAGGTAGGCTGTACTTGTCCTGGGCTTTATCAGGAGATAACAGGTTGTTTTCTAGATGATTATTTTCCAGTCCTGTCGGCAGTATTTAATGACAACCCCCATATTAGTATTGTAGAGTATTTGTGTACTAACCATTTTACAGGGTTAAATGTTTTCTCAGTTTGCATAACCATGATTTCCATGAGGAACAAATTGCCATGTGTCCACTGGCAGTTTTTGCTTCATTTCCCGTGCAATGCCCATCCTTAAACATATTTTGGGAGTAAGGAGAAGCTGTGTTTTTTTTTCCTATCCATTTATTTTGAGACATTTTCTACATTTCTGGATGTTAAATGTGAGCTAAAAAATAAGCTCAGTCAGCTAATAGTGCCTTTAATGCAGAGAAATATTTATCCATCTTTTCCTTTATGGTTTTGTACTTCATACATCTTAAGAAATCCTCCTTTATTGCAATAACAAGAATTCTCCTGAGTTTTCTTCTAAAAGTGAACATTTTAAGTATTATACTATAGTTAAATTCTCTTTTTAAGTGATTAAATTTGAGTCCAATTTCATTCTTAGGTAGGTGAATCATCAGTTTCTCCAATAACTACTTTGAAAAGTTTTAATTAGTGTGGTCATGATTAAAATACCTGACGTAAAATTTAAACTACTAAGTACACTCATATGAGCCCCATGACTACTCATTTTCAGAAGTTTATTTTTAAAATCACCAAAAAAGCCAGATTTGGTAAAACATTAACAAACCTTAGCTCATTTCAGCTCATTTTCATTTTAGTTCTGAAATGTCATCTTTTCTACATTTGTCTTCAGTTCTACCTGTGTTAGTCATTCTGGCCTCTGGTCAGTGCCTGTCTGTCAATCCCACACTGTCTGACCCGTTGAAACTCAGTACTAAGTTCTGGTATCTGGTAAGACAAAGGCTTTCCCTGTCTTCCTCTTCCTCTTCCCTGCTCCTTCTGCTTCTTGCCATTTTTCTCTTTAGGAATTTAAATTTTTCATCAGCTTACAGATTGATTACTGTGCTGTATTTTTAACTGAAAATTGCATGGACTTGTGAGTTTGGGAAGAATTGTCTATCATTTTTATGCACACACATGCCCACTTTCTGAACCCTTGGCGTAGGTCTCCTTTAGAATTGCTGCTGGAGTTCTGATGAAGCGTGTGCATTGTGTCCAACCAGAGTTCCTCACTGTATCTTTTATTCTTCTGACTTCTCTTTCAGTCCTTTTCCCTCTCTTTGCTGCATTTAGAGGATTTCTTCTCAGAGCTCCAGGCTCCTGGCTCAGCTGCTTCAGCTGAGCTCTCTTGAGTCACACCTGTGACTTCACAATGTATGATACCATAGTACTTTCTATTCTTGGTTTTGTTTTGAGACAGGTTTTCTCTGTGTAGCCTTGGCTGTCCTGAACTCACTTTGTAGATCAGGCTGCCCTTGAACTCACAAGAGATTTGTCTAGAACTCACAGAGATGCACCTGTCTCTGCCTCCCTGGGTGCTGGGATCACAAGTGTGTGCCACTGTGCCTGGCTGTACTATTCTTGTTTTTTCATCAAGTTTTCCTGTTCAATTTTTTGTTTTTAGTCTCTTAGTCCTAAGGTAGACCTTTGATTATTAAACAGAACCACTTTTCACATTTTGCATCTTAGTCTGGTTCTGTTTACATTTGTCAGCTATGTTTTCTCATGAAGTCTTGTTTCCACATGCATTGTGTGATTTGATTTTTAAGTTCATGTTTGATGAAACTTTATTTGTGGAAATTCTTGTGAGGTGAGTTCCTCCCAAGAGTTTGTGTTTGCTTTTCTGGGAACCTCTGTCTTTATAGCTAATTTTTACATAGAGGTGTGAAGCATCCTGAAACTTGCAGGAGGCTTGACTGGGTGAAAGTCCTGGGGGAGTTTTTTCTCTTCCTTCTAGAGTTAGTGTGTATGCAGGTGAATTTACTTCCTGACTGCCTTGGTAAGGCATGTTCCTGGCACCTAGCTACACAGAACTCTGTCTCTGTTCTCTTTCTTTATCTGTATTTTCTTCTCTCTCCCTCTCTCTCTCTCTTTGTCCACATGGAGTCTCAGGTAACTCTGGCTGGCCTCAAACATACTTTGTAGTTGAGAATGACCTTGAATTTCTAATCTTTCCTAGACCTCCCAAGTACTGGGATTACAGGTGTTTGCTACCAGGCCTGGCTAGAAGTATCTCTCCTGAGCTGGATCAGTGATATACTCATCTAGTTGGGAAGGTGAGACAGGAGGATCCCAAGTTCAAGACTTGCCTGGGTAACTTAAGGACTGCTTTAAAATGAAAAAAAGAGTAGGGTTATAACTCATTTGAGGAGTGGTTTCCTAGTGAAGTCCTTGGTTCCTAATCCAGCACTAGATGGTAAAAATTATCCCTCTTTAGATTTGGCCTCCATTCTTACCCAGATACTACATTTGCATGTGTTCCTCACCCTCTTGCTTTGGATGCTAAAACTACAACTTTTTGTAATTACTCATTGTGTAATTACTCACTTTCTTCTCTGGTTTTGTGACTGTCTTTGGTCTTTGAACAATACCACATTTAGAAAGGAGCCTGTCCTGGTGTCTAGAATGTAGGCTGTGCAACCAGACTATCTCCTTTGTACTTTGTTTGCTGGCTGGTTTTGCTTAGGTGTGTTTCTTAGCTTTCACGGGCGTTTGTTTTGTCATGTGTTACATGGAGATAATAGCCTCATCCCATAGAATTGTACAGATTGCATCTTCTACACATTACTTACTTTATGCAGGGACTGACAAATACTCAGTACATGCCAACTATTGTGATTTTTGTTTTCTAAGGCGTTCTCTTTATTTTTTGACAGTACAGTAATGTGTTTTATTTTTGTAGCCTTTGAGATCAAACACAGGTTGCTGTTCGTGGTAGCCCAGTGCTCTGCCCTTGCCAATCCTTCAGCCCTGATTATTATTCTTTTAATTTTTTATTAATTACACTTTATTCATTTTGTATCCCCCCATAAGCCCCCCCTTCCTCCCCTCCTGATCCCATCCTCCCTCCCCTTTCTGCATGCATGCCACTCCCCAAGTCCACTGATAGGGGAGGTTCTCCTCTCCTTTCTGATCTTAGTCTATCAGTTCTCATCAAAAGTGGCCGCATTGTCCTCTACTGTGGCCTGGTAAGGCTGCGCCCCCCTCAGGGGGAGGTGATCAAAGAGCGGGCCAATCAGATTATGTCAGAGGCAGTTCCTCTTCCCATTACTTTGTAACCCACTTGGACACTGAACTGCCATGGGCTACATCTGTACAGGGGTTCTAGGTTATCTCCACAAATAGTCCTTGGTTGGAGTATGAGTCTCTGGGAAGTTCCCTGTGTTCAAATTATCTTGTTCTGTTGTTCTCCTTGTGGAGTTCCCGTCCCCTCCAGCTCTTACTATTTCCCACTTCTTACATAAAATTTCATTCACTCTGCCCATCAGTTGGCCATCAGGCTCAGCATCTGCTTTGACAATCTATACTGCAGAGGCTTTCAGAGGCCCTCTGTGGCAGGTTCCAAGGTTGTTTCCTGTTTTCTTCTGGCTTTCAGAGGCCTTCTGTAGCAGGTTCTGAGGTTGTTTCCTCTTTTCTTTTTCTTCTGATGTCCATCCTCTTTGCCTTTCAGGATGAGGATTGAACATTTTAGTTAGGGTCCTCTCTTTTGCTTAGTTTGTTTAGATGTACATATTTTAGTGGGTTTATTCTATGTTGTATGTTTATATGAGTGAGTATATACCATGCGTGTCTTTTTGCTTCTGGGACATCTCATTCAGGATGATCCTTTCCAGGTCCCACCATTTACCTGCAAATTTCATGATTTCCTTATTTTTCATTGCTGAGTAATACTTCATTGTATAGATGTACCACAGTTTCTGCATCCATTCTTCAGTTGAGGGGCATCTGGGCTGTTTCCAGCTTCTGGCTATTACAAATAAAGCTGCTACAAACATGGTTGAGCAAATGTCCTTTTTGTGTACTTGAGCCCTGATTATTTTTAAGGAAGACTATTTTAACTAGCATTATCTATATTTATGGTGAGAGAATTTTCACGATATCTAGTCTTCTATCTCACCCTTATTTTATTTTTCACAAAGGAGAAGTGATGACCTTGAAAAGCAGCTTTCCCTATCTCTGGAAACATTTTAAAAGCAGATATAACACATTTACTATTTGCATTTATCCATATGTATTCTCGCAGGTGGAAGCAGAATGACCTATGTTGTTTAACTAGTGAAGTTTTAATCTGCTCTTCATTTTCTTTTACAGTATTGTGTACACAGAGGCAGCTGCTGGCTTTCACTTTGATAAATTAGACTTTGATTCCTTGAAGTTCGGTAGTACTGTGGCTCGCCGACTCTCCACAGCTTCTTCAGTCACCAAACCCCCACATTTCATCCTTACTACTGAGTGGATTTGGTACTGGATGGATGAGTTTGGTTCTTGGCAGGAATATGGACGACAAGTAAGTGTGATAAAAAAGGATGGCTGTTTTGTAAAAGATCAGTCTCCAAGTGGGTTCCTAGTAAGGGGAACAGGGACTGTCTCTGACATGAACTCAGTGGCTGGCTCTTTGATCACCTCCCCCTGAGGGGGGAATGTGCAGCCTTGCCAGGCCACAGAGGAAGATCATGAAGCCAGTCCTGATGAGACCTGATAATCTAGGGTCAGATAAAAGGGGAAGAGGTTCTCCCCTATTAGGGGACAAGGAAAAGGGCATAGGGAGGAAGGGGGAGGGAGGGTGGAATTGGGAGGAGACCAAGGAGGGGGCTGCAGCCAGAATACAAAGTGAATAAATTGTAATAAATGAATGAATGAATAAATAAATAAAATTTTAAAAAAGATCTGTATAAACAAAAAAAATGTAATGTCTAAAAAGACTCAGGAAAAAAAAAATTAAGACGCCTTCCTAAACAAAAGCTCAAAGATCCAGGGAGCATACTTGGTAGACACCAGTATTCCTAGATATATCTTTATTAGCTTGTTTTTGAGTTCTTAAACATTTTGGCTTATGAGTTAATGTTAGCGAACTCATGAATGTTATTTAATGCTAAATAACTGTCATGATGTCAGTTCCATTGGTTTTATTAGTTAGTAGAAAACTTTAGAGTTAGTGCCTAGTGTAACTGTAGTTGAAGGCTTTCAAATTGCCTTTCTTGACTATTGCCACAATTTTAGAAAATAGGAATGTATGAGAATAATGATTTATAATAGCCGTTGATTTAGAACCCAAATCATGTAACTCATTGTTACTTATTTGAAGGTGTCCACAATGGCTGTGGTCAAAAAGAAGTCTCTGGGGACTTGTAGAAGTGCAGTATGTGGAGAGAGCCAGTTATGTAGAGATCCCTTTCCACGGTGAAAATTATCTGTGGAGCCTGATGGGTACTTGTTCTGTCTGGCTTCTTGGAAGTTATTTTTGTATTTTGTATTTTGTATTCTTTGTATTCTTAACTACTCAGAAAGTCATTTTTCTCTGCTCACATTTTTATATATGCTCCATGAGGACAGGACACTTCTCTTTTACCGTGGGTACATCTTCCATGCTTAGAATGATACATTGCAGTTCTTTAGGCATAGATAGCTATCAAAGGGGAAGGTATTGCTGCTTCTCTTTGTTAGCTGGAGCTGTTGTGCCAACCTTACTGACTAATGCCCTCTTAGTATAGTTTCTTCCCAGTACCAGCTTCACTTGCTACTCTCGCCTGCCTCCTCTGCTTTCTCTCCTTTCTTCTCCAGTACCCTGAGACTATCATATCTGTATGTGGCCTCATTTAGATAGATTTTCTAGTGTGGTGAGGAGCATGAGAGAAAGAAGCTAGGACATGACATGGAAGAGATGAGAGAGATGCTGGCTAAGCATGATCCATGAGTCTGGCTTGCCTGGTTACAAGAGTTTATGATCAATGACAGGCCAGAAACACATACCAAAGGCAACAGTCATATTTTATATGATGATCCCTCTGGCTCTTAGGGGAAGACAGGGCAACAGAGAGCCCTGATGGTAGCTCATGAAAAAGTAGGTTCCCTGGGTGGCTTCCCAGACTGAATTGTCAAACTCAGGGTTAGAGACCTTTCTTCTCTAGCAGTCCAGTTCACACTTCTGTGTTTAACATGTCCTTACTCTTTGATCACAGTCTGTAAACTCATTTAGGACGCTTTGGAACTCTCTGGAAATTAACTGCATGTGTATGCCATTGGTATGCCCACATGCTGTTAAGATGTGGAGACAGGTGGACCTGGTTCTTGGGGTCTCCTCTCATAGTGTTAGCTGTACAGCCTTGCAATAATAGAATTGGGTTCTTTCATAGAATTGGGTTCTTTAGGGTTTTTTCCTCCTTCCTTCCTTCCTTCCTTCCTTCCTTCCTTCCTTCCTTCCTTCC